AAGAAATTACAATGCAGAATTTCATATCCACCCAAACTAAGCTTCATAAGTGAAGGAGAAATAAGGCCCTTTTCAGACAAACAAATGCTGAGGAAAATCATTGCCACCAGACCTGCCTTACAAGAGCCCCTGAAGGAAGCACTACATACGAAAAGGAGAATGTTACCAGACACTACAAAAACACACTAAAATACACAGACCAGCAAAACTATAAAGCAACCACATAAACAAGTCTGCAAAATAACCAGCTAACATCCTGATGACAAGATCAAATCCACACATATCTATACTAACCTTAAATGTAAATGGGCTAAATGCCTTAATTAAAAGACATAGAATGGCAAGGTGAATAAAGAACCCAGACCCACTGGTATGCTGTCTACAGGAGACCCATCGCACATGCAATGACACACAGGTTTAAAATAAAGAGATGGAAGAAAATCTACCAAGCAAATGGAAACCAGAAAAAAGCAGGGGTTGCAATTCTAGTTTCCAACAAAACAGACTTTATACGAAAAAAGATAAAAAAGTAAAGAAGGGCATTACATAATGGTAAAGGGTTAAATTCAACAAGCAAATCTAACTATCCAAAATATATATGCACCCACTAGAGGAGCACCCATATTAATGAAGCAAGTTCTTAAAGATCTTCAAAGAGATTTAAATTCTCACACAATAACAGTGGGAAAATGTAACACACTACTGACAATATTAGGCAGATTGTTGAGACAGAAAATTAACAGATATTCTGGACCTGAACTCAGCACTGGATCAAACAGAACTGACAGATATATATACAACTCTCTACCCCAAAACAACAATTATACATTCTTCTCATAGTTACATGGTACATATTCTAAAACTGATCACATATTCAGAAATAAAACACTCCTCAGCAAATGCAAAAGAACTGAAATTATAACAAACAATCTCTCAGACCCCAGAATAATCAAATTAGAAGTCAAGACTAGGAAACTCACTCAGAACCATGCAATTTCATGGAATATTGAATAACCTGCTTCTAAATGACTTTTGTGTAAATACTGAATTTAAGACAGAGATAAACAAGTTATTTGAAACTAATAAAAAGAAAGTTACAACATACCAGAATCTCTGGGACACAGCTCAGGCTGTGTTAAGAGGGAAATTTATAGCACTAAACACTCACATCAAAAATTTAGAATTTCTCAAGTTAACAACTTAATATCACAATTAAAGAACTAGAGAACCAAGAGCAAACAAATTCTAAAACTAGCAGCAGACTAGAAAAAAACAATATCAGAGCTGAACTGAAGGAGACAGAGACATTAAAAACCATTCAAAAGATTAATGAATCCAGGAGCTGTTTTTTTTTAAATGAATAAAATAGTTACACTTCTAGCTAGATTAATAAAGAGGAAAAGAGAGATTCAAATAAATACAATCAGAAACTTTAACAAAGGGGAGATTACCACTGATCCCAAAGAAATACAAATAACCATTCGAGACTATTATGAATACCTCTATTTACACAAACCAGAAAGTCTAGAAGAAATGAATAAATTCCTGGACATGTATACCCTCCTAAGACTGAACCAGGAAGAAACTGAATCCCTGAACAGACCAATAATGAGCTTTGAAATTGAGTCAGTAATAAATAGCCTACCAACAAAAAAAGCCCAAGACCACATGTATTCACAGATGAATTCTACCAGATATACAAAGAAAAGCTCATACCATTCATGCTGAAACTACTCCAAAAAGTTGAGGAGAAGGAATTCCTCCCTAGCTTATTCTACAAAGCTAGCATCACACTGCTACCAAAATCTGACAGAGTCACAACAACAAAAATTTCAGACATATATTCTTGATGAACATTGATGCAAAGTAGTCAACAAAATACTTGCAAACCAAATTCAGCAGCACATCAAAAAGCTTATCCACCATGATCAAGTAGGCTTTATCCCTGGGATGCAAGGTTTATTCAACATCTGCAAATCAATAAATGTGAATGATCACATAAATACCACTGAAGACAAAAACCACATGATTATCTCAATAGATGCAGAAAAGGCTTTTGATAAAATCCAATACCCCTTAATGTTAAAAACTCTCAATAAACTAGGTATTGAAGGAACATACCTCAAAGTAATAAGAACCACCTATAACAAACCCACAGCCAACATCATACTGAATGGGCAAAAGCTGGAAGCAATCCCCTTGAAAACTGGAGGAAGACAGGAATACCCTTTCTTACCACTCCTATTCAACATAATATTGGAAGTCCTGGCCAGGACAAGCAGGCAAGAGAAAGAAATAAAGGCATCCCAATAGGAAGAAAGGAAGTCAAACTATCCCTGTTTGCAGACAAAATGATCCTATAGCTAGAGAACCCCCTAGTCTCAGCCCAAAAGCTTTTTAAGCTGATAAACTTCAGCAAAGCATCAGCATACAAAATCAATGTGCAAAAGTCGGTAACATTCTTATACACCAACAACAGTCAAGCCAAGATCAAAATCAGGAACGCAATCTCATTTAAAAGTGCCACAAAAAATAATAAAATACCTAAGAGTAGAGCTAACCAGGAAGGTAAAAGATCTCTAGAAAGAGAACTACAAAGCATGACTCAAAGAAACCAGATATGACACAAACAAATGGAAAAACATTCCTTGCTTATGGATAGGAAGAATCAATATTGTAAAAATGGTCATACTGCCCAAAATGATTTATAGATTCAACGCCATTCCTATTACACTACCATTCAAATTCTTCACAGAACTAGAAAAACACTATTTTACAATTAACATGGAATCAAAAAAGAGCCCTAATAGCCAAGGCAATCCTAATAGCTGAGTCAATAATAAGCAAAAAGAACAAAGCTACAGTCATTGTGCTACTAGACTTCAAACTGTATTACAGGGCTATGGTAAACAAAATAGCATAGCACTGATACAAAAACAGACGCATAGACCAGTGGAACAGAATAAAGAATGCAGCAATAAGGCTGCACACCTACAACTAGCTGATCTTCAACAAACCTGATAAAAACAAGCAATGGGGAAAGGACTTCGTATTCAAAAAATGATGCTGGAATAACTAGCCATGTGCAGAATATTGAAACTGGACCCCTTCCTTATACTATATACAAAAACTAACTCAAGATGGATCAAAGACTTAAATGTAAAGCCCAAAACTATAAAAACCCTGAAAGACAACCTAGGCAATACTATACAGGACATAGGAATGAGCAAAGATTTCATGATGAAGATGCCAAAAGCAATTACAACAAAACCACAAAATGACAAATGGGATCTAATTAAATAAAAGAGATTCTGCACAGCAAATTATCAATAGAATGAACAGACAACCTATAGAATGGGAGAACATATTTGCAAACTAGGTATCCGATAAAGGTGTAATAACCAGCATCTATAAGATACTTAAAATAATTTACAAGAAAAAAAAAATGAGCAACCCTTTTAAAAAGTATGCAAATGACATGAATGGACACTTTTCAAAAGAAGACATACATGCAGCCAACAAGTATCTGAAAAATAGCTCAATATCACTCATCATTAGAGAAATGCAAATCAAAAACACAATGAGATACCATCTAACACCAGTCAGCATGACTATTATTAAAAAGTCAAAAAATAAAAGACAATAGTGAGGTTGCAGAAAAAAAGGAATGCTTATACACTGTTGGTGGGAGTGTAAATTAGTTCAGATCTTGTGGAAGGCAGTTTGGTGATTCTTCAAAGACCTAGAGGCAGAAATATCATTCAACCCAGCAATCTCAGTACTGGGTATATACCCAAAGAAATATAAATCATTCTTTTATAAAGACACATGCATATGTAAGTTCATTGCAGCACTATACACAATAGTGAAGACATGGGATTAACGTAAATGCCCATCAGTGATAGACTGTATAAAGAAAATATGGTACATAAACACCATGGAGTACTATGCAGCTATATAAAATAAGAACAAGATTATGCTCTCTGCAGGAACAGGGATGGAGCTGGAGACCATTATCCTTAGCAAACTAATGCAGGAACAGAAAACAAAATACCACATGTTCTCACTTGTAAGTGGGAGATAATGATGAGAACACATGGGCTTATACAGGGGAGCACCATACGCTGGGTCCTATTGGAGGGTGGAGTTGAGAGGAGGGAGAGAGTTAGGGGAAAAAAGTCCACTAATGGGTACTAGGCTTAGTATCTGAGGATAAAATAATCTGTACAACAAACCCCCATTACCCACGTTTGCCTATATAATAAAACTGCACATATACCCTGAACCTAAAACTATTTGCAAATACATATATTGATATTTTAGCATACCCCTTGTCATTCTGAAATGTTTACTACCACTTCTTTACATTCATTTACCATGTATATTTTTTGTTTTAGCATTATTTCTGCCTTCCCTTACCCCCCTTTTCTGAATGCTGACAGCTTCATTCACCAGGGCTATTTGTGGCTGCTCATTGTAACCTTTATTCACTACAAAATCATTTCAAACTGCAATTTCTTTAAATAGATTCCCTTTACATTTTTAGACATGAATTATCTGTTTATGAAGTTTCTCTAATTACAGCATGAGTTACTTGGAAATTCCCATCTGTATCCAATGTGCAGTTGGCATCATGCTACACTTATTTTCTTAAGTTTCTTTCTAAAAAGAAAATAAAGTGGAAGAAAAATCATACTAAAAATAGCAATCATATTTCTATAAACATTAATGTTAGTGCAATCTTCCTCAATGTCTTAGCTAGTATTTTTTCTTAATATTTATTTTTCTGGAGCCCAGCTCCCTGGACAGCTTCTTTGGAAACCCATCTAATATGTGACAGGTCTGCAAAGGGATCAGCATGTTTCAGTATCATATATACAGTGTAATTTAGAATAGTCTAAACCAACAGACAGCTTTGAACAGTATGAATTTCATGTCTATTTACATAGAAGACGTTCATTGGAGGAGAACTAACATTATCTATAAACAGACATACTTACCCATACAAACATAATCAGTCAATGTTGTTGATTATCCTCCTGGAAAAGACCAGACGGCTTACTGTGATTCTTTTAAATTCCTCCCCAGTTCCAATCGAACTGTAAAACAGTTGTGTCTCTTTACAGATCCCGAAAGCTGATAGGAAATTAGATAAGCAAGTAAGTATTCAACTACATATTTTCTAATTTTAGGATTTTTAGTATTCCTCTTAAAAATTATTGGTGGTTTTATACTCAGACCCTGGAAATGTTAAACAAACTAAAAAAAAAAAGGCCAAGTCACCTAAGGAGTACTTTATATAATCAAAAGTTTGTGATATAAAGTTAAAGCTTGTATCTACTGTCAGCCCTGTTGTTCAGTAGTCAGAATCATTATTTAAAATTCCAGTATTACATATAATTGCTTGTTACTTCAAATGGTATAAGAAGGAAACAAAGAAGACATTTGTGAGATTGTCTTTTAAGAAAAAATCCAGCAAATATGGTAGCCACAGTGTTCTTGTCAGTTACTAACGATGGAACGAATTGTAAAGTTTTCTACAGGAACTTCAGGGGATCTGTGCCTCCTACCTCTCCACAGTAGCAATCTCCTCCTAACCTGGGTGGCAAGGAGAAAGCAATTCTTCCTCCCAATATGTCTAACATGCTCCTCTCATAACCACAGGGTATAGAAAAACACTGATTCCACAAAAAGAATAGATGCATAATCACACATTAACAGCTAGCAGTTTTCAAAGCATATATTTGAAGCCTTCAATAGAAATCAGTTTATAAAATCTCAGTGCTTTGAGACTGATTAATTACATAAAGAAAAACTAACACTTGGGGCCCTGAAGCAGGAAGGCTAGTATCTATCAGTAGGTAGGATTAGATAAGAACCAAGGGAGGCACAGAAAGGAACTACTTCCCTGCCCAATTTAGTTAAGGCTTCCTACCAGTTCCATGCTGGAGAAATTAGAACTGATACATTATCCTTTTTTAAAAAATAATTTATTGTGATTTAAATACAAAGTAAACTGAATATGGGGAATCATTTTCAACATACCCGCTTGTCAATTTCATCAAGTCCTAAATTTAAAAACTGCTATGAATTGCTGCATATAGGTTCCCAGACTGCATAGAACCTCCCTGATTATGAGAGTCAAGATGCTGGTGATGAGTCACAACAAATCTAGACACGCAGTTCCCTTAAACGCCTTTCTCAGAAACGTACTTTTGTCCAGGTGTACTCGCAATGACATTGTTTTGTTGCAAAGAAAAACATATCTGACTCCTGAAAAAAGTGGGCAAATCATTTCATTTAGAGAGACACCCTAAAAATAGAAAGAAAGTAAAGAATCTAAACATAATAATAAGGCAAAATAAAATGTTATTTATCATTATTATTACATCAAATTGCATTTGGTCTGAAATTTGTCCTCTAATGAGTCTTAACTTTATAGTTCTGGTCTCATCCCATTTACTATTTCACAACATCTATAGTCAAAAGGCTAGGCACAGTGTACATGGGTCCTTTCCTAGTATCTTACAAAGCTAAAAACAAGGCATCCATATGGCTGAAGTCTCACCTGGAATTTGGGGTACTCTTTCAGATTTAATCAGGTTGTTAGAAGAAATTTTCTGCAGCTGTAGAACTGAGGTTCCCTTCTTCTTGGTGGCTATTGGCCTGGGACCACACTCAGCTCCTAGGAGTCACCCAAAGCTCCTTGCCACATCCCTCAGCCTCAGTCTATTAATGACATGGTGGTTGCTCTTTCAAGGCCAACAAGGGAGTATCTCTGTCTCTTTTAATCCTTCTGACTTATTTTAAGGGTTCACCTGATTAGATAGAGCCCATCCAGGATAACCTTTCTCATATAAACTCAATTTATATGAGACTTTCATGATATCTGTAAAATCCATTTACAGACACACCTAGATTAGTATTTAAGTCAATAAATGAAAGAAAATGTGTATAACAGAGGGGTGGGGATATTGGGGCCATCTTAGAATTCTGCCTTCCACAATCATATGCTTAACTCAAAACTCATCATCATTATTGTCCCATGTATGACTACTTTAATTAATTTACTTTTACATTTAATTAATACTATAATGAATAGGTACAAACCTCCTGTTCAACTCAAGAAGCATAGCATAGTAATAATTATTAATGTTTACCAAAATGTACCTCCACATTCTATCTTCCTGCTAAGAGATAGCTTTCTAAATTTCATTTATTATTCATAATATTTAACATTTTTACCAATATACATGTCCACATATTTCATTTCACTTATTTTGAACTTAAGATACACCATAAACATTCTCCTGGGACTTGCCTCATCCATTGTGCTTGTATAATGTTATTACTTCCATCTCCTTGGTTATTATAACTTCAGGGGTTTCATTAAAAAACCTTTTGTACATCTTGTAGATAAGAAAAGTAAGGTAGAGAAAGTCCTTACAATATCATTTTGTATTCGTGGACTTTTATCATCAAAATTCAGTGTCATTTCTACCATTTAGTACATTTCAATGAAATCACCTACAGTATATTAAAATATATTTATGTGTACCATTATAAATAAAATTTGAATAACTTTATTAATGAACCAAATTATGCTAAAATCAGTAAAACTCTTCCCAATGTGTCATGATACAAATAACAATACACAAAAATATCTTGTCAGAGTGGTTAGAATTTCTGCAGTACACCTTTATAAATTATAGAAAAAGAAACATAGTAAGTAAAACTCTGGATTTAAACTGACTTTTTCAAGAACCACACAAACCACTATCTGAAATTCTCAAATGATATTCTTGGTAATTATTAGGTATTTATTGAATAACAATGAATGGTTAGCATCCCATAACAGGCATAATAGAAAATATCTGTAGAATGAAAAACTTCCTGTAATACTTGTTGTTATTATTGGAAGGAGTAACTTTAGCAGGATAAGCAATGCTTTGAAACAGGAGTTACTGCCATTTGATAGAGATGGTATAGTGTAGTGCCGCTAAAAGACAGCAGTGGGTTGTAAAAAAATTAGTAATTCTTAAACTTTTGATCTATAAAGATAGGTTTCTTTATACAAGGTATTGGATGAAGGAGGAAAGAAGTTGACTATTTCCTTCAGCTAACTCTGTGTTTGGAAAGGGAGCCCCCTTAGAGTCATGAGACCAGATAGCTATAGGATAGCTGCATTTATCAGGTCTATCAGCTACCTCCTTTTGCATTATCCATTCCTTGTGTTATTGCACAACCACCAGAGACATCAGTTATTAGAGAGTGGGTAGAGAGGAGTATATATTTGGATGCAAAAAGGACAGAACAGATCAAGAACAAAATATGACTATATGAAATATAACTTTAGGAATATCCCTTCCTTTTGCCTCTCCAACCCCCAAATCTTTTATATGGTGTTCAGTGTTACTTTAACTGTGCGTATTCAAATGAAACTGAAATTTACTTTAGCAACAAAATGAACTTAACAGTCCTCAATCCTGCCTCCCATCTGTCATTTTCCTCTTCCTTTTATCTAGTGTTGCCTATGACTATCTCCCAGACATTTCTGTAGTTCACTCATCTTAACTTGGTTGTCTCCTTAAACCATTAGGAGTCCATGAACTTTATTGTGAGAATGAATATTGACCTCTCAGGAGCACTTCACAATCCAGTGTGTCCTGTCCCGTCTTTCATAAATTGATTTTTTAGACTATTGGATATTGAACAGATAATTAGAAAAGCTTAGGCCAATTGGGATTACATATAAAGGCCATAAAACAAATAAATAGAGTGAGTTTAATGAACCAACTACAGACCACAAAATATAATTACAGCAGCAGCAGCAGAGATTTATAAAACCGAGAATGTCTTCTCTTGTTTAGTATACTTAGCTCTTAACTATACTTAGCAGGAAAACTTGCTAATTACAATAAGATAACCTTAAAATGACAACATATACTTTAAAATCTTAGGACACATTAGAATTCTAAGTAATTACGAAAGAATTTAACTTTTTGAAAAGCCATTTAATTTACCAATAGTATTGGTACACAGATTGAATAAGGAATTCAAAAAGTAGCAAGTGAAATAGATCACTGATGGCCCCAATAATGAATATTTGCGGCCACAAGTCTCTATATCAGCATTGAGTGTTTTTGCTTTTGATCATATAGCAACTGTGCTCTGTCCACAAGATCACACGCTCATAGAATTTTTTCAGCAGCTACTAATTTGTACTAAAAAACTTATGAAAAATATCACCAGCCTTTAATAACACAAAACTTTCTCTTTAAATTTTCATTTAATTTAAAATATAATTGTATATCCACATGCTATTGTAAAAAAAGTAAGATATTTCATGTATCTTTTAACCAATTATTCCCAAAGGTAACATCTTGAAAACTGTAATCCAATATTGCAACCTGAATATTGACATTGATACAGTCAAGATACAAAGCATTTTCAATATCACGGGTCCCTTATGTTGCACTTTCATAGCCACAGGGCTTTCCCAACTTAAACTCTGGCAACCACTAACCTGTTCTCTATTTCTATCATTTTTTTCATTTCAATGTAATATAAATGGACTCATATGCTATATAACCCTTATAGCCTAATTCTGTGGGTCATTATTCGGTTTGTTGCATTTATCAATATCTTGTTCATTTTTTTGCTGACTGATATTTCATGGTATAGATGTATCACAATTTATTTAAGTGTTCACTCATTAACAGACATCTGGGTTGTGTCCAGTTTTTGTATATTATAGATAAGACTAGTATAAACATATACAGACTTAGTGTGAACAGAAGTCTTCATTTCTCTGAGATAAATGTCTAGGATTGCAATTTCTGGTTGTATGTTAGCTGCATGCTTGGTTCTTTATGAATGTACCAAACAAATTTTCCACAGTGGTTGTACCACTTTCATTCTCACCAGCATTATATCTAGTGATCCAGTTTCTCTTATTCTCACTAGAATGTGGTATTGCCACTGTTTCTATTTTAGCCATCTTAATAGGTATAAAATAATACATCAATTTGGTTTAATTTACATTTCCTGAATGACTTGTGACGTTGAAGATTTTATGTGCTTACTTCCCAAATATATATCCTCTTCAGTAAAATGTCTTTTCATGGTTTGAACCATGTTCTTCTTTTAATTAATTAATTTTTTAATTTTGTGGGTACACAGTAGGTATATATGTTTATGGGGTACATGAGATGTTTTGATATAGGCATGCAATGGTGAAATAACCACATCATAGAGAATGGGGTATCCATCCCCTCAAGCATTTATCCTTTGAGTTACAAATAATCCAATTACATTCTTTAAGTTATTTCAAAATGTACAATTAAGTTAGTATTGACTATAGTCACCCTATTGTGCTATTGAACAGTAGGTCTTATTCATTCCTTCTAATTTTTGGAGCCATTAACCATCCCTACCTCCTCACTACCCTTTAGGTTTAACTATGAGAGTTCTAGATACCGTTCTCTTGTCAGGTATGTGGTTAGCAAATATTTTTTCCCAGTCTGTACCTTATTTTTTAATATTCTGAACAGGGTATTTTGTAGAAAGATACATTTTTTAGTTTTGATGAAATCTAATTTACCAGTTTTTCCTTTTATGAATTGCATTTGTTCTGTTAAGTTTGAGAACCTATTGTCTAGACCTAGCTCTCATACCCTTGTGGATTTCTCTATTAATAATTTTTATTTCAATTCTGGGGTTTTCCCTAACATATTTAATAACTCTGTTGCTTAGTGCATACATATTTAGGATTGCTACATCTTTTTTTGTAACTTAAGCCTTTTATAATTGTATGAACTCCATCACTGTTTCTGGTAATTTTTTATTTTTTGCTCTGAAGTCTATCTGATATTAACATAGCTTCTCCTGCTTTCCTTTGATTAATATTTCTATGAAATACTTTTCCATCCTTTTTACTCTCAACCTGACTATATCACTATATTTGAAGTGACTTTATTGTCAACAGCATAATTTGATGCGTCAATGTTTAATTCAATGTGTCAATTTTCATTTTAATTGGTGAGTTTAGACTAGTCATTTTTAGTGTAATTATTGATATGTTAGGGCTCGAGTTTGCCATTTTGTTTTTGTTTGTTCTGTTTTTCACTTCTTTGTCTTTTTCACGATCTCTGAGTTAAGTAAACACCTTTTTAGAATTTTATTTTAAATTTATCTATATAGTGTTTGGAGTATATCTCTTTGTAAAGATTTTTCAGTGGTTGCTCTAGGTATTACAATATATGCGTATAACTTACCACAGTTTATTGATGTCCTTATTTTACCAGTTC